TGCGAAGGCTAGACATTTGAACTCCATGTACTTTCTTTCTCGATTTCACGAAGACATTTTATATGTGTGTGTGTGTGCACGTGCGCCATAACGCGCACAAGCTCCTACTCTCTCTCTCTCCCTCCGTGTTTGTATAACGTATGATGTATGTGAAAAGGGTAAAACAAAGTGGCTGAAGGTGATGATGAGCGGGCACTGACACTACATGGCACTAAACTACTCACTTTGACCTACGTTTGTCACGCAAGGCGGGACATAGAGCACGGACACGAACTGACATCTCGTCTCTTCGACTGTTCCAAGCTCACGGGACATTTGGGCAGGCTTGATAAATAAAAACAAGTCAAAACCCGACGTTGTTCTTCTTCAAGAAACTCACCTCTCAAATCTGACCATCCATGCCCGAATCAGAAGGACAATAGAAAAGAGCCTGGAAGGATGCACCTTCACATTGTGTTCCAACAGAAACGGATTGAGCAAACGAGGTACTGCAATCCTCGTCCCCCGCACCTCCAAAATCCTGACAGAAGGACACTGTCAAGGGAGAAGGGGACGAGACAGAAGGCAGATTTTTGTGGATTGACATCAGGTGGCAACGAGAAGAACTTACGATTCTGAACCTATATGCCCCCAACGCAGAAAGCTAACGACTGGAGTTCTCCAACAACATCAAACTACTCCTGCTGAGCCCCCAACGCAGAAAGCGAACGACTGGAGTTCTCCAACAACATCAAACTACTCCTGCTGAGCCCCCAACCCGCAATCATAGCAGGGGATTGGAACATGACACCTGACCCCAACCTCAACCGTATCTCTCGGTCCCTACTCATGGCCTCCACACGGGCAGGAACGCACATGACGGAGTTCGAACTGATCGACCTGTTCAGAACTCTCCACCCCACAACGAAGGCATTCTCTCTAGTCAAAAGGAACCGGGTGAACCGCCTATCGCTCTCCTGAATTGAATTCTTTCAGATCCCCGAATCCCTCTGAGGGACATTCAAGGAAGCAGAAATCCTGCCTGCTGCTGCTTTCAAGGGGCTGGACCACAAACCCATCCACCCACTCCTGAACTTCAACTCCCCTATGGAAAAGGGTCAAGGCTTCTATAGATTCAATAACTCCCTCCTGGCAACAGAGTGCCTAACAGAGGCAGTCAAGTGGATTGGCTTTTCACGAAAAAGAAGAAGAGACAAACACCAATGGTTCATCGATAGCTATAAGGATCTTGCTCAGACTGTATTTGTCGAGTCAAGAAGCATAGCAAGCAAACGTAAAATAAGAAAAGAGAAACTCCAAATCACCATAGCAGTCGCCGAGGCGAATCTCACAACAGATCCCGCCAATGACTTCTATTATGACCTTCAAGAAGCTGTTGAAGAGGAACTCACTGCAGACTACTCCCTCAACGAGCCCATGACCAAAATTATCTTCTCCAAGATTAAATCCAACGTCAGAAACAACATGATCGAGGGACTGAAGGACACGATGAATCAAGGCAAGGTTGAAACAGCCAGCTCGGGAATGGTGAGAATAGCCAGGGCCTTCTATGCAGAACTCTACGAGTCCAACCCCCCCGCACCTCCCTCCATAGCCAACCTGAATGCCCGCCAACATATGATGTCCTACTTAGAGAGGACAATCACACGGAAACAGACCGAGGACCTCGACAAGCCTATCACCAAGGGAAAACTCCAAATAGCACTCTCCCAAATGGGCAATGACAAAGCCCCAGGCATTGACGGCCTATCAAAAGAGTCCTGGCTGCGGTTCTGGCCCATATAAGGAGACGATCTTCTCGACTTTTTCAACGACAGCAGAGACAAGGGAGGCCCAAGCCAATATCTCAGCACCAGCGTGGTCTCACTACTCCACAAGAAGGGGGGAAAGGAAGACCTAAAGAACTACAGACCCATCTCCTTACTCACGACCCCCTACAAAATCATGGCAAAAGCATTGGCCAACAGAATCATAAGCCTCACTGACAAATGCTTCCATATTGACCAAGCAGGCTTCATCCCAGGGCGGTACATACTCGATAATGTGATGACTCTGAACGAAGTGTCCAAGACGATTACCGAAAAAAGAATGAAAGTGGCGATCCTCTTCTTCAATTTCGAGAAGGCTTATGACCAAGTTAATTGGGACTTCCTACATGCTTGTATGGCAAGAATGGGAGCGGGACCAAAGTTCAAGGAATGGGTCAGAATCTTGTATGGTGATGCCACTGGCAGAGTCCAAGTCAACAAAATCATGTCCGATGACTACCCGATCTCGAGATCCATCCACCAGGGTGACCCCCTCGCTCCTCCCATCTTCCTATTCATCATGGAGGCCATAGCGTCCTTCCTTCGAAAAGACCCGTTGATCGACTGCCTCACAGAATGTAACTACAACCCTCTCCACGACTTCTCCCTCCCCACTATACTTATGTTTGCTGACAATCTCACAGTCCTGACCCGCGCCAACAACTCATCCTTTCAAGCCTTTGTCAGAGCCATTGAAGCCTTCCGACTGGCATCCGAAATGAAGGTCAACTCGGCCAAAACCAAAGGGTGGTGGCTAGCTGACAGCAACTCACCCCAACTAGAAGACAGCCCCATACCCCTATCCTGGTCCATTGGGGACCAAGCACTCTGCTACCTGGGAATCATGGTCAACAAAAATGGCACATGGCCAGGGATGGGACAAAACCTAATTGCGAGGGCAATATCACGACTGGCCCCATGTAAAAATGCTCAAGCATCTCTAATTGGAAGGGCACTAATCATCAATACATCTATCTTCTCCAGACTGTGGTACATGGCCTCCATATGGTCCCCAGATGACGACTTAAAGAGTCTCTAAGCCAGAGCCAGATGCTATCTCTGGACAGGGGACCCAAACAAAACAACCTGCATCAACGAAGTAGCCTGGCACCATATCACCAGAAAACCAACAGGAGGCCTGCGAGTGATTGACCCTAAACAGGAGGCAATTGCACTCCAGATGAAATGGATAATTAAAATCCTAACTAGACAATCCCTGCCATGGATCGAAATGGCCGTGGACAGCATAAGGCACCTGGCTCCTGTTAAGTCCCCTCCCAACATGAGCGGCCTGTTTTGGATAATGGCCAGAGAGTGAAGGAGTAACCCACCTCAATCATTGGAACTGTCCAACCCCACCCAACCCCCTACTGGAAGCCAACCCCGAAAGCTTGGCGCCGACTCATGCCGAGTAAGCATGCGCTCCCAACAGCAAGGAAGAAGTGCTCAGACGCTACTATTCTGCAACCCCTGGAACACAGACAGAGAGGGCAACCCTTGGACTCTGCACCCCAAAGACCAAAGGTGGTTGTCCTGGCTGGGAAAAGGAGTCTGGCAGGTCCAACACTTATGGTCAGAGGAACTAAAGGACTGGGTGGCTGAACAAGACATGCGAATCCCCCTGAAGGGATGCCAGTCCTTCGAGACCAACCTCTCTATGCTACGGAAGAGCATCCCACAGCGATGGATAACCCTGCTAAAAGAAGCTTGGGGACTGGGGCCTACTCATCACTGAGACCCGGCCAAAGAGAGCGTACCGGTTCATTAGTCATCACACAGGATCAAGCCACAAGGCCAAGTTCGTCTCGTACCCGATCGACAGCCAAAATCTCCAGGAACCAATAATCCTAAACACGGACCCGCAGTACGAGACCTTAGAAACTTGCACACTCTGGAAGGTCAGGGTTTCTCGATTTAAGCTATGATTGATCTTCCGACCCGACCTCAGCATCAAGGACTTGGAATTCGACCCCAAGGAATGGATCTGGAGACAAGACAAAACGAGTAAAACAAGATCTATATCTGAGTACGATGTTAAATTTGGGTACGATGTCGGATTTGCAGATGGAAGAAGATACTGGAGCTCAACCCCACAGCCTTGCTCACTATCCCATGGGTGAAATACCTCCCCATAAGACCGGTGTGAATCCGCAGCATGCAATGGCTCATAGCCCATGCGGCCCTACCTGTAAACCAGTGGCTTCATAAAAGGAGACAACACTCAGACCCGAACAGTTCTGAACTATGCCTGATGTGCAACACTAACACACCAGAAGACATTCCACACTGCCTTCTCTTCTGCCCCGCAGCAGCCTGGATCTGGAACAAAATCCAAACCCTATGGCTCATCCTCTTCGCCTCACCTCCCCCCACCACTACCCCCCTAACCATGGACATCCCTCGCCATCCAGTTAATAGAAGAAAAGAAGAAGAAGAAGAAGAAGAAGGAAACAAAGAAAACAATGGACATCCAGTTAATAAAAAAAGAAGACAATTGTGCACCACTTGACCTGGGCAGCCCTCGCCATCCAGATCACCTCCTGCTGCAGGTCTGGACTTGGTCCCATTTAGTTCGGTTTCGGGGTCAAGTGGTTGACCCAATTTGCTTCATTCTTTTCATTTTTTTATATGCTTGGAATTGTTGGGTCTCCCCTCTGCAGTTTGTGTTTGACCTTTGAGAAGTTCTGACTTCTGGAGTAATCAATTTGTTGTGGAATGTCATGCATCATGAACGACTATGTTTATGAACTCCATCTTTTGAAGTACTGCGAAGTGAAGAACGGTCTCCCATCTGATGATGGGAGTATGTTTCCTTGTACGTCCATGTTTGGAAGCCCATGTTCCTAATCGCCTTGCCAGCTAAGCCACAGCTTTGGGTGTGTGATTTTTATTTATTTGAATGTGTTCTTCTACAGTTTTTAATACTTTTTAAAAGTTTTCATCTTCTAAGGACAGTGTTTACTTTGTTCTTGCATTTTCGTTGTCTCAGTTTACGTGTGTCATCCTTTTGCAGGACCCATGCTAATCTTCTCGGTATCATTCCAATTCTGATGGATGTGCCGAAGGACTTTGTTTTTCTTGTCCGCTTTTTGTTTCTTTAGTGTTTTCTTTTTTTTTGTCTTTAAAGCTTCCATTCACTTTGTTCTTGTCTTCGTTTTCAACTTTCCTTTCTATTTTTCAAACTTTTGGCAGCGCTACAGAAAGCTCAGCATCTTGCACATGAGGCTCATGGACAGGTTCTTTAAAGCACTAAGCGGGAGGGCACCATCTCAGGCATCCAGGTCGCCATCACCTACTCAATCACTTCCACCCAAAGCTGCACACTCCGAGGTGAGAATCCACAAAGGCAGCATCCCAATCCCATGGACAAAGGTCTGGTGAAAGACCCGGTGCACTAGAAGTTTAGGGAACGACCTTCACCCAAATAGAATGTTATGCACGTTTTTCTTTTGTTGTTGAGGATGACTCGCGCTCATGATCTGTTCATTAACAATTACATGTGTCTACCTTTCTGCCTCAGTATCATGGACTCTAGAGAAAGGGGAAGACAACAAAAAGATCAGGAGGTCGTTCTAGTCCTTTTTTTCTTTCTTTCTTTCTGTCTTCCTTTCTTTGTTTCTTCCTTCCTTTCCTTTTTCTTTCTTTCTTTTCTTTTTTTCTTCCTTTTTTTTTGTTCTTTCTTTCGCTCTTTCTCTTTTTCTCTTGCTCTTTCGCTCTCTCTCTCTTTCTCTTGCTCTTTCGCTCTTTCTCTTTCTTTTGCTCTTTCTTCCTTTCTTTCTTCCTTCCTTTCTTCTTGCTTTCTTTCTTACTTGCTTTCTTTCTTGCTTTGTTTGTTTGCTTTCTTGCTTTCTTGCTTTGCTTTTTTGCTTTCTTGCTTGCTTTTTTTTCTTCCTTCCTTCCTTTATTTTCCTTCTTTTCTTTTCTTTTCTTTTCTCTCCTTTTCTTTTCTTTTCTTTGCTTTTCTTTTCTTTGCTTTTCTTTTCTTTTCTTTTCTTTTCTTTCTTTCTTTCGTTCTTTCTTTCTTTCGTTCTTTCTTTCTTTCTTTCTTTCTTTCTTTCTTTCTTTCTTGCTTG